TTGTCCTGGGGCTTAAGTACACGCAACTGCTTTCTTCAACTCACAACTTGTTAGTCCCTTTGTTTTCAGTGAAAATGACAGTTCTGTCTGGCTCAAGGAGTTATGGGAAGATGGTGCAGAATGATAGCTGTGACACCTAACGAGGTGCCTAGCACACATCAGGCAGAATGTCCAATGATTTAAAAGCGTTCCCGGAAGTCTTAGTTGCTTTCCCTTTGCTGCGACCCAATACCAGACGCTTACAAGTGGAGGAAAGCGAGACTTATTTTATGTCATATTCAGTCCATAGTCAGGAATGTGGTTCCAAGGCAGAGATGGCATGGTGGAATGGTCTGAGGGGGAACGATGCTCCTATCGTGGTGGCCAGGAAGTAGGGAGGAAGGGAGGGGGAGACATACCCAGGAAGTGAGAGAGACACTTCCTAGCAGCACCCCCAGTGACCAGCCCCTTCTGAGTAGGCCCCACTTCCTAATCCCGCCCTGTGCTGTGCAAGTATCAGATTAATCCCTTGATGATATAACCCAGTCACTTTCTTAAAGCCCCGCCTCTGAACATTTGAGACTTTGGACACACATTCTAGATCTAACCCTTAACCTTGAGGCAGAGTTGGAGCAGTTATGCACATGATTTGCTAGGTCATTCTTCTGTATCCTGCAAACCTCTGGCCCTACTTACCATTTTCCTCAGCAATTCTCAGTTTATTTCTTTGTCTATTAACTTAGATTGCCTAGCACACCCTCTTTTTGTATCATACTATGGTTGTTATCTATGTTGGATATATCTGCATTTAGTTACAGTGTATATCTTCATATCTTCCCTGGCTGTAAATTTGCACTCTTGAAATCTTGCTGCTTTACTAAGATTCCTTGTCCAAAAAAAGTATCTTCATTTTACTCTCATTCACGTATTCAACAAGTATTTATGGTAAAATATTTGTAGGTCCTTTCACAGAAGTAACCAAAGAGAAAACAATTTGGATCTGACTTCTAGCTCAGAAAGGGAGAAAATAATCGAAAGAGTAAACCAATAGTATGATGTGGATGGTATGCTTAATGGAGTGCTGAAAAGCGTGGGGTTGTTTTGCCCTCAATGCCGTGGATAATTCGGTGGAGATCTAAATTAAAGTAAAACGAACTAGGCACCCCTCTGAGGTAGACGTGCCTGGCTGCTTGAAGCAGGCCTAGAGGAGCAGTCTAGAGCAAAGGCAGAGATTAGCAGAAGAGAAGGACAGAAAAGCCTCAAGAGACCAGCTTGCTCAGGTTCGTCCTGTGAAATCTACCTACTAAGATTTTTTTTTACTACTTAAATAGGAAGGTTGTGGGTTGTGGATGGTCTCCTTTAAAGTCTGAGTTATGAATTCTGCTTATTCTGGGGACAGGAACCTGGCTACAAAGGTCAAGGGCAGAAGCCAGAGACTTTCCAAGAGTCTTGCCGGAGTTCAGTGAGAATGACAGTAACCTGTTGAGCTTCCTCTGCTGCCTGGTGGCTATTCACGAACATGCTCTAATAATCTCGCTATGTTATGAATTCTGTGTGGACCGGGATTTCAAGGGATTTATGCGAGTGTCTTCAGTTGCCTTGTCATGGCTGCCTTGATATTCAAAATTCATTCAAAACATTTACCTTTTATGACCATTTTGACTCTGGGGAAGGTTCAGATGTCAAAAGGTGCTTAAAGGTAAAGGGGTCAAATTCAGTGAATACAAAGGACAAGGACACTTTTTGTCACACCTCCTAAAGACACCCAAGAAAGAGGACTCCAGAACTGCTTCAGAAAGCAGCAAGGAGGATGGGGTGTGTGTTTGAACCCAGAAGGGGGGGATTTTGAGAGAAATTATTGACAATATGTCTTTTACTGTAATTAAAAAAAAATTAAACATTGGCTATATAGAATGAATACCCACTGTCTTTATAGAAAGCAGAATTCATAAGCCAAACAGAAAAAGTATTTTGGTGTCCCTAAAATAGAAAAATGAATTGTTATTGCACTCCCTTATCTGACTCATTACCCCAAGACTACTGTGTATAGTGTCCTTTTGTATTTAATCCACCTATCTCTCAGAGTTAATAACATATCTCTCTTTGTACTGTAAAATAAAAGTAATAAGGTATGAGTGGAGAATAAAGAGTACGTTTGATACCACCTGCCTTGCAAGTGCAAGATCCTGAGTTCGGTCCCCTGTACCCCTCCAAAAAAGAGTACATTTGAAAGTAAATGATGATACAGTTCTATTATACTCCAGGAATCTTTCTAATAATGATACGAAAGTATTAAACATAACACACACACACACACATATATTTGTGTATATTTGATCTATTTCACATATTTTATATGTTCATCTCACACTCTGCCTAAAAATATTTTTTTTCTGTATGTAAGGTATAAATTTAGAAGATAGTAAGCTGTGCCTAAGTCTGACTAGTGTCAATTCATAAAATTACAAACAGTGCATGGTACTTTGAATGATTTAGGTTTAAGTTCACGAATACAGTTAGACAATAAATGTATAAAAAACATGAAGAAGTAATAAATATGTATTCTGCCTCACTGAAAAACTTTGGGTTGGGATCAATGACAGTTATGAAATATTTTTGCCCTCTCTCAAGAAATTTAAAAAATCTACTTCTCCCCAAATGTTTCACAGTGAGGATCCTAAATTCTATTCTGTAATGGCCCCTGGCATCTAAAATGGAGGAACTTACACTAAATTATACTAAGTCTTACACTAAGACTTCCTGGTTAAAATCTGTGGTCTTCCTGACACCTCCCAAAGGAAAGAAAAGATGCTACTGTCTCTAGGGAAAAGGAAATGCCCAGAAGAGCACTCTAAACAGGCTTTCATGGTAACATATCCATTAATAATTAATTTCTTGCTTCCTTTAGAATGGTACAGGTTAAGCAGTTGGTCACATTCGGTAAATAAGAAATTACTTGCAGTAATATCTGCAACATTCTAATCATCTTCCCTGTCTGAAATCTAGTTTAAAAGCCTTTGATCTGCACAACAGTGGAAAAGACATTGAATGTGGAAAAGGATTTGATTATATATTCAGCTTTGCCACCCTCTCTTACTGTGGCTTGGGAAAGTCATTTGACCTAAACATCTCCATTTATTTTCTCTTGATGAAGAGCATAGTGATCTGTACCCTGCAGGATTGTAAGGACCGAAAAGGATAAAAGCTGAAGATTACATATGCACAGGTCACACAGTAAACCCTTGATACATTCTGATGCTAAGTGATACAATGGAACTATAACAGTCCTAAGAGTGGTATTTCAGAGTTCCACCCTACATCAGCACAGATGGGATCTTCTGAAATGGAAAATATATCCCCCCTTGTTATTTGTGCATATTATTAGGAATTATAACATACTCAGCCATTTAATTATATCATTAAAGGTGTTCATTTTCTTCATTACATACATAAGGAAAAGGTTTTCAATTAACAATGACCTTTATTACTTCTTCTAGCTTGGATTCTGTTGGTGGCGAAGCTGACTGCAAATGGGATTCGCAGTGTACCTTGTTCTTACTTTTTCACCCACTGATTAGATTCGTTCAGTTGGCAGCAGTCTGCCCTGTTGCTTTCAGCTTGCTGTTTTGTAGCAGTCTCCAGCACTGTGTTCAGTCCCTGGAGGTATTCTGTGGAAATACTGTCAAACTCTTTCGATGTGTATGTGTTTTCATTCTGTAACTGTGCTTCGTACTCATTTAAGAAAACCAGTCTTTAATTTGTAAGAGCATTTTCAGGATGAAATACAGAATTTCTCACCTCAGCAAAATCAGTGGCATATGACCATAGCTGTCTGTTCTAATCCGTGAAGTGTCTGACTTCTATTAGGCACAAAGTTGTATTTTAAAATCTTCTTTTAAAATATAACTTTGAATAAATACTTTCAAGCTTACTAATTATGATTTTACTTGCTGTCATCACGTGCCTCAAGTTTATCTTTCCAATTTTATCTCATTCCTCTTATCTTACAGCCCTTGTTTATTTATAACTCCATGAAATGCCCAGTTTTCTTATATTTATCTGCTTCAGTTTTGCCCACATATACCACTTCCGTTGACCATTTTGTGTCTTACACCCCTCAAACATCTTTGGTATTTTCTGTGGACATCCTTTCTGTACATGTCCAACAACCTTTCACAGCCGTTCATGTAACTTGTGTGTGGTTTAACTAGTATCTTCTCTTTTGCACCAATAATAACTGATATTTCTGCTGTTAATAAATACTTCTGCTATTTTCCTCACTAAACTAAAATTTGTGGAGAGCCAGGTCCTTTTTAAATTTATAAATAAGTAGCTAACAAATATTTGTTGATCTATGAATGCTTGCTAGAAAAACCATTGGACAGTTTATTGAAAAGACAGCACAAATGTGCTACTAAACGCATTATATTAGCTTTGCTACATTTAATTACTACAGCCATCAGTAAAAGCTGTTTATAAGTTTATCAGTAAAATACAGTTTATAGTTTCAGTGTACAAGCCTACTACTCAGCAAATATTTTTTAAACTAACGTTTACGTGGCTTTGTTCTATCCTTTCAGCAGCCGGTTCATTATACTCATATTTGGAATGAGCCAAAACAATCTGATTCAGAGACCTTTCTGACTTCTTAAAATTTCAAAAAAAAAAAAATAACGAAGTTTTATTGTAGAGGAGATTGTTATTTTAGTTAACTTAACTGTATTTAGATTTGTTTCCCAAAGAGAATAAAGCTAGAGTTTGGTTTTGAATTGAAACACACATCCACCATACTCTTGTGCATGCCCCCTACACACTTAAAGAAAACCAACTATATGCAATTATTTTTTGCATTTGCATCGGGGAAGGTGTGGGAGGGTGTTTGTATCTCCTGAGTTGATGTGTGATGTATTCGTTGGATGCTGTGCTATTATTCCGTATATGGAAGGATCACTCATAAAGATAATGGTGTCTCTCCTCGTTTTCATTTTGATTAATATCGTTCCGTCTCTGGTAATTCACAGGTGTTATTTGGAAGATGGAGCTTCAAAGGGTGCCTGGCTGAACCGGTCAAGTATTATATTTGCTGGAGGTGACAAGTGGTCAGTGGATCCTCGCGTTTCAATTTCAACGCTGAATAAGAGAGATTACAGCCTGCAGATACAGAATGTGGATGTAACAGATGACGGCCCATACACCTGTTCTGTGCAGACTCAGCATACGCCCAGGACGATGCAGGTGCACCTTACTGTGCAAGGTACGCATTTCCAGAAATACTCCATGGTGAAGGGCCCCGCTTAGCGTGTTTAATATTTAGGTTCCCGAATGACTCAGGTGCAACTAACAATACTGAAAGTTGTGTTGTCATTGTCTTTGGGGATTATGTTGCCAGATACCATTAAATGTAAGAGCTGCTACAGGCAAAGAAAGTCCTACTTAGAAAGATCAAGAAATATCCATTAATGCCACATGGTATGTTTTATACGTGATTTACTTTGTATCTTCCTTTCAATTACCTCTTCAATAAATTTTTGAGAACCCATAATAGTCACATTAAAATAAATATTTGAAAACCTATAATAGATATATTGAAATATTAAACTTTTTGAAATATGGATGATAACTGTTTAAAAGCATATCCTCCCTGCCTTCCAGAATTCTGTCTCTACCCTAATTCTGTTTAATTTGATTCAAGTTACAATGAAAAGTAGACAAGACGCCTTTTAGAATTATTTCATTTAAATATAGAATAATTACAAAATGTGTACAATGTTGTTTTGATTTAATTATAGGAGATCATAAATTATGCTATCTAATGTGTAATCTCCTAATACCAAATCATTAGATTATTTTTCTTCTCTTGCATACTAAAATGTGAGTCCACAGAGCTTCAATATAAATAATTTTCAATAAAATTGCACGTATAATGCTAGTAAAATGAAAAAGTTATATTTTGCTTCTTTCCATTTGTCACTTGTGCTCTATAGTTTAATCCTGTTTCGGTTGTATAGAAATATTATTCTGTGTGGAACTCAACAACACAACTGAAAACAGATCGCATGATAATAAGGCACCAGTTGTATGCATGTTCAATGTAAAAGTCGTGAGAGCACCTTGGTTGTTTTCTCTCTGAGTTTATCTTTCAGTGCATTTATAGAGGTTTAGTTACTCATGTGAAAGTAAATCTGAACTCAACTCACACACAGGTTCGCCATTTTGATAAGATTAAACTTCTTTATTAAACAATTTGCCTTAAGGAGTAATGTAGAAACTGAATGGCAAGTCCAAGAGTTTTCTCAATAGTCATTTTCATAGCAGGCTGTTGCAGGGCATGGTGATGTTTATTAAACACCAGTCTCCTGAGCGTAGGATACATTTTTCACAGAAATCTATCTTTATTCTCAGATTATTCGGGGAATCCGAAGGACAGATGTTCACCCAGCTTCAAAAACTGACATTAGATTACAAGACACAAACACATTTCTTCTGTTACCCATGGGTACTCTATTCTTCTATTCAGTTTTATTGCCTTTTGACCTGAATTTCCAGACCAATGATTGCAAAGATTTTTATTTTCTGGGCAAAGTGTACTTTTGGAGAGTGATATATTTGAGTCACTTAAGATACAGACATTTTACTTGTACATTGTAAATTTTCAATGATATATTTCTGAATACTAAATATATTCTTTTTACATTTTCTCTTCTTCTGGGTTAGGCATCTATTTTTAAATGAGACTATGAGATGTAAAGCCTTCTTAGGTATATGTTTGATTCCCATAGGGTTTATTTTTAATATTATATTATACAGACTGTTTAATACTGTTAAACAGCTTTAAAACTGTCATATGACCTCCTGCAGTCATACCCATTTTCACTGGCTATTTGAAAATAGTGAACTTTTGAGCAATCAAAAATGTTCTTACTAAATGTTTTGTCAGGATAATATTTTATATCTTCAGAAAATAGCTAATCCACACCACTGTTTTGAACATATACTATTGGCTCAAATTAAAAGCTACTAATTTTACAGTATTTATGAACATAATTACTTATTATAAATTGATTGACATGTGGGCTTCTTTCCAATTACATTAATAAAGCTCAGGGAATATATTAATAGGCTTGTCAGTCAATTCAAGAACTAAATAAATGTCATAAAGAGTCAACTCCACTTAAGCTACATTTCCTCTCAATGAACAAAAGTAAATTGATGTGCATATCTCTTCAGTTTCTAAATAAGTTGAATTGTGTGATGCTGAGGTATAAATTACTCTCTACCTAACAGTCTGTCAGTCCTTTCCCCAAGTTATCCAAGTTAACATTAGCAATGAGGGAAGACTGTATTCATCACTGATGTCAAATATACATTTCCTGGTACATACAAAGATCATCTTGCTTTGTTACAACCAGATACTCAAAGGAGATACATTTTTGAAGATCATTTTAAGAAAGGGATAACAAAGAGAGTATTTCACCAATCGAGATGTTATGCATAGTAAATTGGTTGGTTCAACTTGTCTTTCACAGCTTTTATTTAAAATGAGTAGAGAAAGAGTGAAGAAAAACTCTGGAGTAGGAATCAGAACACCTTCATGTCAGTCCCAAGTTTCCCTTCATAAAATGAATTACCAAGTATCTCAATACTATCAATTGAAAGAGGACTATAGACAGCAGATCTTAAGCCAAAAGTCTTAAGAAGGGCTGGGGATTTAGCTCAGTGGTTCCGCTGCCTGCCTTGCAAGCACAAGGACCTGAGTTTGATCCCTGGTACAAAAAAAAAAAAAAAAAAAAAA